GTGATCTAGGGTTTTCAGGTACGACGTTTTTTTTTTTTTAATTTAACTTGGCTCTGATACCATGTTAATATTATAAGTAGAGATTTAGAGAAGAAAGAGTTATAAGATTAGGGTCTCATACTCTAGTCTATATATAGTTTCAAAGGATACAAGTCTGGTCCAACAACCGATGTGGGACTAAACCACCACTAATCCGTATTACATATTATCTCTCAACAAACAGTACCTTTTGAACATTAACAAGTTACTCTTAACTCAGATGGGCACTGCAAGGTTGCTGTTTATCCATGAAGAGTACCCAATTTGGATTCATTCAGTGTTTTCGCTTGACGAGGGATTCCTTTATAGGAGAGGATTTGTTGAAAGGATATGAATTTTAGAGTGACTGAGGTGAATTTTGATCTGAAGGTTAGGAATAAAGGGAGAGGGCTTTAGATGAATACTAGGCTTCAAAACCTCGGGGCTTTACACCCTATGCCAACACAAGCAAATTCACATGCTTAGAGAGAATTTCAAAACTAAAATTTTATTCATAATGATCCATCTTCTCAATAAGGCTTACATCTTGATTGAAAGAAAACAAAAGATAACTCATAAGGAAACAAGATAATATTAAATCTCAAAGATCCTTCCAATCTTAAGGAAACAAAATAAATACTTAACAGCATCAAATCTGAAAGATCCTAAAGATCTTAAAATTAAATCCAAAGTAGATCCTACCTAAAATAAAGATTGCATCAAATATTTCCAAAACAAAAAAAGATATTAATAAATCCTAATAGCCTAAGTTCAACGATCCACGATTGTCCCGCATCTGATATCTTAAAGAAGCACACAAAATTCATGGTATACATACAAAATTCTATATTTAAAGAAGCATTCTTTATTTTCTGCATGCGAACTTTATATATCTTTTGGATATACAAGTTTATCAACAAACTAAAATTTTCGATAATTTGTTAAGGAACCTTAAGGACCACATAAAAGGATCACTCCATTCTTTTGATGAAAGACTTCAATATACATTGCCATGATATATCAAGCAAACTAATTTCTCAAACTGCACAATTAGGATGCACCTTTTTAGTGGAATACGACAACATGGACTCTTCAGTTTTGCTAACATTAATATATGTTAATTGTGTGCTGAGAGGGTAATACATACCCAATAAAAGAGTATTCCATGCTAGCATATCCCTTACTTCTAGACTTTAGTTGATCAAAGAAATCCCCAACCATCTGTGAGAGAACAGAAAACATTAGAACAAAACATACCAAATGTGTCACACTAAGAGATTAGTCTGTCAGAGATTATCATATATTACACTATTTAACCCATCAATATAAATTTTAAATAGTAGATAATAGGATTTTGGGGTCTTTGGACCAAGACAAGATCTGTTTTGTTATAGAAGTTTGGACCTTTATAGGGAAAAAGTGGTGACTACTTTCCATATTCAAGTAGGAACTAGATTGATAAGATCTGTTGGACAACTCATGATATTGATATAACAGGGAAGTTTACCTCGGCCAATGGTAACTCATAGATGATTGACGCTCTGTTCTCTGTGATATAGTTCATTTGTTTGAACACGCCTCTTCTGTCTTGACCCAGCTCCATAAGAGGCCCAATATACTCTTTTGGAGTGAACATTTCAATCTAAATAAAGTAAGTTGGAATTAACAGACTATGTTATTAAATGTTGCAAAATATAACTAACAGCTGTTAAGGAAGAAAACATTAATTAGCAACCTTGACAAATGGCTCTTCAATTGACCTTCTTTTTCCAGGTTCAGGAAGAGCTGCTGGATTTGAGCACTCAATCTGTACAAACCAAGATATCAAGCATGTGGTCATACTTTAAGTCAGACAACTACAACAAAGAAGCTTCAACAAAATTGTTACCAAACAAGTGCAATATAGAAACTTATTCTCAACAATATTTTTATTCAAAAATATATATGCTCCTTCTTTCCTAAAACTTAGTTATATATATAAGAATGCTCAAGGTGCACTTTCTTCTGGCAACATATAAAAACTTAGCATGTAGTCCTCTTAAGTAGTTGTTGTTAACCAACTGGAAGATAAAATGGAAAAGTCAGCACTAACTAGCTGGGGGAACTTAGAAGTTTGGACAAAAAGATCAAATCCCCCTTAAAGTATTGGTGAACTCTCAACNCTTAAGTATAAATTTACCTGCTTTCCCCCTTAAGCTATGTGTATATCCCCAACGTGGTCATTTTGTCAGCTCATAGACAAATATTTAAGATATTAGTGACCTGATAGTATTTTTTCACATATCTTGTATTTTCTGCAATTTAAAAAAAATTCAATTTCAAAAAGGGGATAGAGTAAAAAATTTCAGGGAAAAGTAGTTAAATTTCTTTTTTTGTTTTGTGTAAATGAGTGACATACTGATAGAAATCCATAAATGCAAAAACAACACTGTCATGTCATTAATTTGTTAAATATTTGACTTGTCGGCTCACAAAATGACCACACTGGAACCACAAACACAGTTTAAGAGGCAAAATAGTTAAATTGATACTTTAGGGGTAGTTCAGAGCAATGTTACATTAAACGTTGGGCGCTTCTAGGCGTCGGACTTGGCGCCCAGCGCTTAGTCGCCTAGACGGGCGTCTAAGCGGTTTCTGGGCGTTTTTTTTTCTTCATTTAAGTGGTGATCGATGAGGTTTTGTTGAAGGTCGAAGGAGGTAGCGGAGGTGTTCATATTTGGAGGTTAATGGAGTTTGGAGGACGTGTAGGCTACGACACATAAAATCACAATCAAGGCCTACATGGTGCAATCTACGTAAGCAGACAATGCTCCCCTAAACGCTCATAAAATCTAGGTGGGCAGCCTAAATATCGTCTAAGCGCTAAGCACTAGTTAGGCGGCCTAGGTACCGTCTAGACCTAGGCGTATGCCTTAAGCGGACTAGGCGGAGGTTTTTAAAACAGTGGTTCAGAGTTCACCAATACTTTAAGATGAGTTAGCTATTTTTTCCTAGAAGTTTTATTAAAAATTATCATACTTTGGATTCATTTGACTGTCAGACAAACACTTCACATGCCGTCACACTTCAGCAGACTTACACAGGAAATAAACTTGTTTAGTACTTGATTTTTTTTCTGTTATTTAAAGCGGAAAAGTTTTTATAGAGTGCACACATAACATATAAAATAATCCTAAAAGACAATTGAATTTTATCAGAAAATTTGTGTTTGTGCATTTTCATAGCCTTCACATGGAGAAACAGACACAAGTTTTCACATATGTCAATTGTGCAATCGGGTGCAGAAACACATAGTGATACTCTCAAAGTAGTTTGGTTTTCCATAAAATGCGCTTGAGCTCTTACCTGCCCATCAGATCATTAACAGTTTGCCATACAGAACATTAATTTCTGGAGAATGAGGATCATGTTATGGAAGACTGCTAGTTGGCCACAACAAACAGATGCAAGATAAAATCATGAACCGTCCGAAAGATCAAACAGAAGTAATCCTTATATGTTTCCCCTAGTTATGAACAAAAATAAAATAAAATAAATCCAGAATATTCACTAAATCCAACGCCACAACAGTAGGAGACAGTAAACCTGGATGGTCCAATCCTAATCGTGTACTAAGTCAATTACTTCAATTCAAATGTAAACATCACACTATAAGATATTGGGCTTGATCGTGGTTGGATATGAGCCTTACATTTTTCACTGAATACACTGAATACTTACATTACATATACACAATGGATACAAATCAGATCTGCATCCCGGCCAAAACATGTATGCATGCAACACAAATAATTGCTAAACTAGCTTTTAATATAGGTCTACTTGGCCCTAGAGCTGTAGTAATGCAAAACATCGCATTTTTTTTATGATGATCCTAAGGCCTGATCAAGACCAAAGTAAGATGAGCATTCTGCACGATGATGGGATGAGAGATAAAAAACCCATAATATTAACAAGAAAAGTACTGAAATATGTAAAAGACTACTAGAACATGGAATGATCAAAGAGCAATAATAAATAACCAACCATGTAATAAATGCTGATAGTCTTGGTGAGTTTTCTATGCATGGATTTAAACGGCTACCAGTCTGCCAGATGTCAACTGCCTGTCGGATTTTGCTTCTACAAAATCTCGATGGGCATGACAACAGCTTGTGCATAGGTGAGACCCAAGTGAATCAAATTAAAAATTGTATAATCAATACCCTCCACGAGAAAGGGGGGAAAACTTAAGAACCAAAAAAAATGGGGCAAAAGGAAAGGACTGTGGTCTTCCATCTCCAGCAGCTTCTGAAGAAATCCACAGAACAAAACGGAGTTCACACCATAGATGATGATAACATAATAAAGTAAACCTAGGTAGATAGCATATGAAACAAGAGTAAGTCTACTGCACCAACCTTAAGAAACTTTGTTTAGGAAGACTTAAGGGGTTCTACCTTGAACTATCTCCCATAAATATAAGAACTAGAGACAGGTTACAAAAGCCTCGATATATCTTCACTTTTTTTATCCTTATTGACTCCAGAACTTTTACCTGACTACACAGGTTTCTAATCTGCACAAGTCTAGGAGGCCTCAATTCCAGGGAAAACACATCTTATAATGAAAAAAGTAATACAGACTGTATGATGACAAATGGCTGGCTCAGAGAATATTTCTAAATTAATAGAAGAGATATCACCCAACATACTACCTTCTTGGTTAGACCAGCGATATGTTTGTGCCATTTGTAAAGTACTTGTCAGCAAGCTGGTTCCCTGATGTGATTGCTGAATGATCAACATCACTTATTACTGGTTGATAATGACCACTAGGTACGTGGTTATCTCTTAAGAAAACATCACAGTGACAAATTCTTTATCTGCTGGAAAGATGTAATAAAGCAATACCAAATGCTGACTACATTCTAGTGATGCCATGACACTTTCCTTCCATGATGCAGGAGAATCTGCAAATACTAGAAAGAAATCTCACACATCCAGAAACCCAGCAAGCATTCTATCATTTTCAGGGAGACGCACAAAGCAGATTTAAGGATGAGAACAAATACATCTTAAAGCCTGTCCTGTTTGCTCCGAAATGAGTTCAAGTTCAAGGAAGTTGGCGATTTAATGAAGAGATATCAGCCAAATTGAGATATCAGCCAAACAAGTGACAATATGTCCAGATCATTGTTTTAAATATCCCCAACATGGCCCGATATATCATCAGATATATCTTTTTCCATGGCTTGCTGCAACCGATATGGTCTCCAAATATCCTTTACCGCTTTTTGCCTATTTTGGGAAATATATCCCAGATATGGCCAATATATTCTTTTGTATGGCTTGTCGCAAAACAATATAAATCATGATTTTCCCATATATCAAATGACATTTTGGCCAAAAAATCAGACAAAATGTTGCAATATTGATTTGTACTTTTGTTTGTTTTACAAGGTTGATTAGTGATCCTCAACATATATTATTTATATTTTGTATGCTTAGATTTTTTTAAGTCTGTTGAGATTACATTTTAGTTCATTGTACTATATATGCAAATATTTGTTATGGCATTCCGATGTTTACCACATATCCCGATATTTTTGCAATATCCGCAATCCAATATGAATTTTGGCCATCCGATATTTCTCTAATATCCGATATTAAAACCTTGGTCCAGATTCAGTCAGATCTTTCTTGAATTTTATTTCTATTAGGATTTTTAGTTTAGGGAGACTTATTAGGAGTTCGGAAATATGTGGTCTTTTGAAGACATTTGTCGTAATCTCACTAAATGTAGGAACCCTAACCTAGTAGGCAAGCAGTAGCAATCCAGCTGAATATGAAAAGAAGCTTTAGTGTAATCAATAATCAAGAACAAGACAACATCATAGTTTTTTAAGAAATTTCCCAAAACCCGATAGTATGGAAAATCTCACACCGGGAAAAACCCAAGGCAAAACATAGAAAATCAAAATCATACAAAGATTTGAGAATTAGTCAAAATAAATGTGAGTAAACGAGTAGAAAGAACAATAATATTCCACTCATCATAATCATCAAACTATTGAAGTTAGTTCAATAAAACATAGAAAATCGAAGTGGATATAATAGTAGTCAAAAAGACTTTTATATTACTAGAAGGGTGAAAAGGTTAATATGCAAAGATTGTAAAATTATACCGAGAGAGAGTTTAACCACACAACATAGGTTGATGGTATGAGACATATCTATTATTAAGTAGACTAGAAAAACTAATAGGAACAAGAACTAAGAACTAAATACTGGAACTTAAAATGAGAGAATCTTATTCTTTTTAAAGGTAAGATAACGAAGGAAGATATATGGAATATAGATAACGAGACTGATATTATGTGAAATAGTACGTCTTCTTTTATTAAGGTGGCTAAGATGAGAATCCGAGGGTTGTAGATTAGATGGTAAAGAGAGTTAGTGGTAGAATGAAGAAGTTCAAAAGGCGATTAAAGTGGAAAAAAACATTATATAAAGATTCAAAAGTGTAGGAGCGAGGAAAGCTTCGAGAATACAA